GTCTGTGTTTCAGAAATGTTTGAGAAATGTTGATGTTATTTCTTCAAATGTTTGAAAGAATCTACCAATGACGTCATGTTAACTTTTTTCCTTGGGAGATTTTATTATTACTGATTGAACCTCCTTATGAGTAACTGGTCTTTTGAGATTGTTTATGTCTTCATGATTCGGTCCTGGTAGATAGTATAGTTTTAGAAATTATCTATTTCTTCTGTGTTTTTTAACTTGCTATGTTAGTAAGTTTCTTATGATCCTTTGTATTTCTGTGTTATCAGTTATAAGCTCTCATTTTAGATTTTATTTATTTTTATTACTCTGGCCAAAGTATTTTCAATTATCTTTTAAAAAAGCTCTTAATTCAATTTATCTTTTAAATTTTCTTTCTAGTCTTTTTTTATTATTATTTTCACTCTGATCTTGTTATTTTCTCCCTTCTACTGAATTTCGGCTTAATTTGTTCTTTTTCTCATTTCTTGAGGTGTATAATTTTTAGTTACTTGACTTTTTTTTAACGTATGTGCTTATTGCTCTAAATTATCCTCAGTACTGATATTTTTTTAAATCTCATAAATTTTAGGATGTTTTGTTTCCATTTTCATTTGTCTCGAGACATTTTGAATCCTTTTAAAATATCTTCTTTGATCTGCTGGTCGTTTTGGAGCATGTTGTTTAATTCATGTACTGTGAATTTTTCAGTTTTCCTCTTCTTTTATACCATTACAGTTAGAAAAAATATCTTTGATATGCTATAGTTTTCTTAAATTTATTTATTTCTCTATAACACCATACTGTCATAGAGAATGTTCCACGTTCACTTGAGAATGATACATATTCTGCTGATTTTGAGCTGTTGAATAGAATGTTCTTTCTGTAGTTTAAATTTGGTGTTTTCCTATTTTGTCTATATGAACTTAACCATTGTTGAAAATAGAATATTGAACTCCTTTACGATTATTGGATTGCTATTTATTTACTCCTTCATGTCTATTATTTGTTTCTACATGTATATATATTTAATAATTCTTCATTTTGTTCATTTTTTTCATGTTGGTTGTAATACCGTTGGACTTCCCACCACCAGTTCACCCATGTGCCATCACCATAGTCCACTGCACTCTTCCCACCCCACCCAGTTTTGATCCTATTCCCCTCTCCATACCCATAAAGTGTATCTGGTTTATAGTTGTTTATTATTTTTCATTTTTTTCTTTATTTCATTTTTTTTCCCCTGGTCCCTTAAGAACCTGCTATGAGTGAAACCATCTGGCATTTTTCTTTTTCTTTCTGGCTTATTTTATATTCATATAAACTATAAATATATTTTTATATATATATATCTCTTGCATATATTTAAGAGCTCCTAGATTGGGTACACAGATATTTTCAAATACTATATCCTTTTGTTGACTCTTTATAATTATATAGTGACCTTCTTTTTGTCTTGTTACAGTGTTTAGCTGATATAAAAGTTCTCTAACCTTTACTTTTGTATTAGAAGGGATTATTGAACCACTAGGTTTACCTTTCACAATTTGGATAACCATTAGTCTTTTGGGGAAATATCTCAATTTTTAAACCTTTTCTGGAATGATAGCGCTTATTCAAGGAGTTTTTAAATTTATTGGCATCTTTGATGGGTGACCCCCCCCAAGTGAAAAATTGTTGTGCTCTCAGTTAGAATATGCATGTAGCATTTTCATCTTGTAATAACCAAAAGAAATAGGGAAAGATTGGAAAACATGTAATTGGTCTTATGATTTGGAGCACTAATTTTGTATTTAAAGGTAGAAGAAAAATGAAGTCATAGGATATACTCTGAGTCAAAAGACAACAACATGTGAGATTAATTGATTCTGACTAGAAATTAATAGGTAATGATGATGGGGTAGGGAAAAGAAATGCTCAACATTTAGTAGTTAATCTTCTGTTCTTTTTCTTTTCTCTTTGCCAAAGCACTGTCACAACTGTACTTCTTACAACTGACAGATGACCAGGTGGAAATGTTTCACAAGATAAAGGACAGGATTTAGAGCAGAATTGTAGTTTGTATTTTTTGTTAAACTGAACATATTGATTATGTTTTATCAAATAAGACCAATATAAAACTTTAAAAGGGAAACTTACTTATAGCCCTATAAAATATAATAGTTTAGAAATATTACAATAGGTTATCCGTTAATTCAATAATTTGAGAAAAATAGTTACAGGATCTATTCTATAATAGTAAGTAATTAAAAAGATTAAAGAGCTAATTGTAAAGGATTTGGGATTACTACAAATCAGTGGAACCCTGAAACATCATGTGAATATCATACAGAGACATGTTAAGTGATCTTGACAAGTACTTTGACAAGTTCTTTGGAGGGTTTATTTAGGTCAGAATGCCTTTTTACATGAATTCGAGAAAAATGGAGGAGAATAAGTAGAGACAATAAATAGGTATTGATAACTCCTAATAAAACAGTACACAAAACAGTACTAAAGAACAATTATGAGGAAGAGGACAAGTCACTGTCTGAGGGATCTCACCCATATGCTAACAATTGATAAGGCCACTAAGGCTCAGGAAATAACAATGGGATTTATTTAACAAACAAGAGATTGGGGAAATAAATAGTTTCTAAGGCCACAGGTGGCTGGTTCTGTCACCCCAGATAAGTGTCTCTAGTGTCAATAGTAGTCCCTAACAAACGCCACTTGTGCCAGATGGTGCTGTCCCATTAGTGAGGGCCTGGAGCTGATAGCACACACGTCATCAGTGTACCAGAGTATAAAGCACAGTGGAAGTTGGAGGTGCTCACTGTTGAGGCAGCTAAGTGATACCAGAGTAGCCAACAGCAACAGTCTGACGGCCATATGGACAGCACTGGACATGGGACCAGACAACAACAGAGGCAACAGCACTAGGAAGCGAGGGCAAAAGACCAGAATTAGTGGACAGGTCTCAAGGTGATTGGACACAGTCACAGTGTGCTGGTTACCTGTCAGCAGTGCTACAGCTCTTTGTGAACTATTGGTATGAATCAACAGCTAACAATTCAAGACAACAGAGCAAAGGCAACAGTGCCCCTTGCAGGTGATGTCAGAAGCAAGGCCAGAGGCAGGTGCAGCAGGTGGGTCTCTGTAAAGGTCTATGGAATTCTGAAGTTCTACAGAGGCCTGCAGGCATGCTGAATCCCACAAAGATTAAGTCATCTCTCTCAATGCTGCTTCTCCCAAAGACCATCTACAGAATACCTCTTCTTTGGAAGCCAGAAGCAGAAGCTTTCTTCTTTCCTCAGATGCTGAGAGCAGGGTGAATCAGTCTGGCTCTTGCTCTGCCATATATACTTTTTTAGGATGCCCCACCCTGAAATGGTCTAACCCTACAAACCTTATTGGACCATTTTCTATCCTAATTGTCTGATTGGTGCTCACTTTCACCAATCAGCTCACTTTCATTTTTTTCTTTTTCTTTTCTTTTTTTTTTTTTTTTTTTGAGATTTTATTTATTTATACAGGCCACAGGTACAGTGGGTAAAAGGATTCACCAGAGACAGGATGGGGAGCAGAACAGGCAGATTGACCAAAATACATTGCTGAGGGGAGGAGTGGTCTGCTATACCATGTGGGTCACTTCTCTGGCTGGGGATTGGACTCATCCATGCTGTTGTGGCTGGGGATAGCTACACAGTGCTGTACTTTAACCTGCTGTGCCACCAGGGAGGGCCCTCTCTTTCATGTTTTAATCCAAATAATGATCTCAGTAATTGAACTCAAATCTTACTGCTCCAGTCACCATCTAAGCATCAAATACAAAAGGGAATACCTAGCACCTGCACAGACTCAACCTGCCCTAAGGTCAGGTCACGCTCATGGGCCTGTAGTCTGAGCCACAACTTGAGTGGCTTTATTTGGGTCAGAGTCACATTGCACCTTTTGCCCTTCAGTGAGAGGTAGTTGTAACAATGCAGGGGGTGGGAAGGACCTGTAGCAGCACCAAAACACAGATCCCAGCCACTGCAGTGTAGGCTCTGCCGTGGGCCTCCATGTTGGTCTATCACTCCACAGGCCTTTCTGCCTATTCCTTCAGGAAGCTGCAATGATGGAGCAGCCCCAACAGAACTAAACACTTCTGAAAGCAACCTGAACCAGGAGCTTTGGAGCTTGAGGTTTGCCTCCACTGCTGCAGTTTGCTTTTGCATGGGGTGACTTTGCCACTGTAGTCCCAAGATGCTGTAGTGTGGCTTGTGGGGACCCACTGCCAGCAGTTTTTAGAGCTTCCAGAGGTAGTAAGTTCTGAGGCCCAGCCAGAGCCCAAGCAGGGCTGGTCACATTAGGGTGGCAGGTGGGGAAATATCCTCCAGTTCTGGCATTTTTGGAGGTGCACAGGCTGTAGCCTGCACATGCTGTAGGTGAGCAGGGAAACCATGGCAGCCACTCCGCCTCAATGTGCTGCTCAGGGGGCAGGCTGCCCTAGATTCTGTACAGCTGCTCACACCCCATGGTGTCCCTGTTCCACTAAAAGTCATTGCTATAAAGAGAGAGTTAAGGAAAAGATTTTTTTGTATTTCTTTTTTTTTTTCATATATATGGAACATATATATATGTAGGAACACATTTGCTTATAGATGGTCTATTAAAAAGGGAACGTTAATTATGTAAGGGAGAAAGGGAAATTTCTTCAACACTGACTTTAGGTTGACAAGAAGTAATGAGAGCCGCTGTGTAAATTCTGGGGTTGAATTTATGAGAACATGGACAATTCATGGTAGTAAATGGAAAGATAGAATATATGGAAATAAATATATTTAATGATATTAATGGTAAACAAGTAGAGGTTTTCTTCTTATTGCTTTTGATTTTCAGTGCATTTTTGCAGGTTTTCAACTAGAAGTTTTTCAGAGAAAAAATTAACAATTCAATTTATTCTTATTAACCGTAGTGTCAAAAATGAGAGAATAAGACTACTGATATTTTTCATTTTCAAAACTTGTAATAGTATATTTTTCTTCTTTTAGATGTTCTTAATAGTTGCTCCTCTTTCTGTTCTCTACAACTGGAGGGATGAATTGGACACCTGGGGATATTTCAGAGTCTCGATTTTACATGGTAACAAAAAAGAAAATGAACTGATTCGTGTGAAGCAGAGAAAATGTGAAATTGCTCTAACAACTTATGAAACACTGCGTTTATATCTGGATGAACTTAACAGGTAATAAGAATCAAAGTATTAATTGCTATGTGTACATTAACTTTTATTATGAGTTTTCAAATTTCCCATGTACATTTTGCGTGACAGCTTAACTAATTAGTTGAGAATCATCAGAGTGAAGAGTTACACTGAGTAAGAAAGGTAGATTTTCTCTTTCTTTCCCTATTTTTTCCTCACTCCACAGTTTGGAATGGTCAGCTATAATTGTGGATGAAGCTCATAGAATCAAGAATCCAAAGGCTAGAGTGACAGAAGTTATGAAAGCTTTAAAATGTAATGTCCGCATTGGTCTCACTGGAACCATTCTTCAGAATAACATGAAGGAACTGTGGTGTGTTATGGACTGGTGAGAAGAAATACTTTTTAATTTTTGGAAATTTAAGTAATACTTCTTTCATGTTGCCTGTTTACTTATTGTTAGTTCCTGAAAAAGGCTACTTATTTAATAGTTTTGATTCCAAATGCAATATACCAGAGTAGAATTTCATGAAAAATCTACCTTTATGTATTCCTTCTGTTCCCTAAAGAAGAAACTTTAATAATTTACCAATGTAAATTGTACAAGTAACTTGTCTTACAGCTACTTACTGAAATTGTCATTAAGAAGAACATTCTTTTTTTGTTATTGTTGCAATTATTATGTTAAACAAGTGACTTCTTATAGGTTTGAAAAGCAAAAAGAAGCCACCATTTTTCTTTTTAGATCATTTTATTCTTTTTTAAAGGGCTGTGCCAGGACTTCTAGGTAGCATGAGTTACTTCAAGAAGCAGTTTTCTGACCCAGTAGAACATGGTCAGAGACACACAGCAACAAAAAGAGAACTAGCTACAGGTCGAAAGGCCATGCAAAGGCTTGCAAAAAAGATGTCCGGATGGTTTCTCAGGCGAACCAAGACTCTTATCAAGGATCAGTTGCCTAAGAAGGAAGACCGGGTGAGAGCTATAATGATCTATATTATTAATTACTTCTTGTGTTCATTTTTGAAAAAAAGTTTTCTTTTTGAGAGGAAATCTATTTCTTTGATAGTTTATGAATATAAGTTTTGTTGTTGTTTACTTAGCGTTAAGCAGATTTTTTAGAAAACTGAGTGCAGTTGTTTCCTTTACTAACTTTACTAACCTGTTAGTTTACCTTAAACTCTTATTTTATTTTTATTTATTCATACAGAACTGGGGTACAGGCTAGAGATGTGGAGGGTGAGAGGATTCACCAGGGACAGAGTGGGGAGCAGAACAGGCAGATCGACGAAGTACACTGCTGAGGGGAGCAGTGGGTGGTTCAGGAGAGGTCTGCCACGCCACGTGGATCTCCTCCGGGGCAGGCAGGGATCGAACTCATATGGAAGTGGCTTAAGCTTCTTAGTGCAGTGCTTTAACCCCCTGCTCCACCAGGGAGGGCCCTGTAAACTCTTATTTTAATAAGAGTTTGATATAGTTCTACCTCAGTGAAGAAAGAAGAGCTTTACTCCCTAATGTATTTTCTGTACATATTTAGTCCTTTCTATCTTTTTTTTACTGTAACCCAGTATATTCTTTGGTACCCTATTTTTTTAATTAAAAAAAGATTTATTAATTTATTTATGCATACAGAACTGGGGTATAGGCCAGAGGTGCAGGGGTGGTGAGTGGATTCACCAGAGACAGAGTGGGGAGCAGAACAGGCAGATTGACAAAGTACATTGCTGAGGGTGGCAGCGGGTAGTTCAGGAGAGGTCTGCCATGCCTTGGTACCCTAATTCTAGCTCTAGGTCCAAAGTGGTTAAGAGATTTTTTTTATAGGATTTTTTTCTAATGGAATGCTATTAACAATTAAATGGTCAGCCTAATTTTAAGATTTTTATAGGAAAACTATAATTATATTCTGTTTAAGAAAATTTGGAGAGTTGACCTTTCAAAGGTGGGTGCACGGAGAAGAAACATATGGGAGAGCATTCGGTATCAAGAGAAGCGTAGTTTATTTGCACTCTCTGGAGGAGTTCAGGGACTCTGAAGAGGGAGTCCAAGAAGTCACGCCCCAGAGCAGGGTAAGGGGGTGTTTTATGCTTGTCAGGGAGAGTGAAGAATTGTTTCCTGGAGTATAGTTCCGGGAGTTGTTATGTGCAGTCACTGCTGATTGGTATTGAGGATCTTCCAGCCACTTCCCACACCCAGTTCCAGGTGCCTACTGGTACAGATACTGAAGTCTTGGTTCCCGGGCCCCAAAGCCTAACAACCTTAATAGTATTTTTAAAGTAATTTATTCATCCTTTATCATAGTTCTTAATCTCATGGTGCTTTTAATTTAGGCAGTAGAATAAAGTTCTATAAATTATTATTAGAAGAAACCTAATTAATGTCCCAAATAAGTGCAATCCTGACAAATACCTTCTAGACTTAGGCTATAATGTTGATTATTACTTTGAAAGAAAAAACTGATACATGAAAGTTGTGGAAATTGATACAAGATCATCTTTTTTTAGCTAAATGAAATACATTATTGAATTGAAATAATTTATGGACCCCTATCTCTTACAATTCTTTGTATGGTTTTATGGTGTATATATAGAAAGAATCAAAAACCATAAATATATGAAGAGAGAATTGTACAAAATATTTTAGAGCTTAAGCTCTGAATCAAGTACATGGGTTTCAATCCAGGTTCTCTTACATATATGACCTTGAATAGTTTGCTGAGTCTTTCAACTTTAGTTTTTTTATCTGCTAAGTAAAAATGATTATAGTGCTTGCCTCACATGGGAGCTCTAAATTATAATGTTAAAGAAATATTATTACATATTTAACAATAACAACTATGTAAATAATCAGAAATAAATTTAACCTAGTTGAAAGATCTTTATAATCATACCTTTTTTTCATATTTTGATTTTTTTAAATTTATTTATTTGTACAGAACTGGGGTACAGGCCAGAGATGCGGAGGGTGAGAGGATTCACCAGAGACAGAGTGGGGTACGGTACAGGCAGATCTACGAAGTACACTGCTGAGGGGAGCAGCGGGTGGGTCAGGAGAGGTCTGCCTCGTCATGTGGATCTCCTCCGGGGCAGGCAGGGATCGAACTCATGCGGAAGTGACTTAAGTTTCTTTGTGCTGTGCTTTAACCCACTGCGCCACCAGGGAAGGCCCTTGATTCCTTTTAATAAAAAACATGCTATGAGATTTATTTGAAAATAAAGTTATAATTCTTTATAGCTTGGGCTAGGGTTATAGAATTGGGAGATATTGTTATGATATATCTCAAAGAAAAATTTGTGTATTAGAACTTTTCATTGTTATATTTTATCAAATAGCTGGCTATTGTTATAAAAAGATACTAATAATTACCTTGTATTTTGGCAGATGGTGTATTGCTCACTTACAGATTTTCAGAAAGCTGTCTATCAGACAGTATTAGAATCAGAAGATGTGACTTTGATACTTCAGTCTTCTGAGCCTTGTACATGCAACAGTGGTCGCAAAAGGAGAAATTGCTGTTATAAGGCAAGCAGTTCTAAGGGTTGCTTCTTTACTGTCTTGCTTTTGATTGCATAGTACTCTATTTGGAGTAAACAGCAGATAAGTTAACTTTTCCTCAGGTAGTTCTTAACTTTCGAAGCCATAAATTAATAAGTAAGAACAGTTTTTAATAGCAAATAGTAGTCAAGACAAAATAAAATATTCAAATAGTTTTAACAAAAACAGTCATTGAAAGTAGTTATAATTGATAAGCTTCATTGCAATTTTTACTGGGAAATATCCACTTTCATCTTAAAATTTTATTGACCAATAGTAAACATTTCATCTTTGATAGCAGGCTATCAAAGCCAGTTAATTTAGTAGAAACTATTGTATTTTAATTTAAAAACAAGGCTTTATTTACACCTTTTTAAAAAAGATTTCTCTACTTATGTTTATAAGAACTTGGATCTAGGCTGGAGGTATGGGGAATGAGAGGCTTCACCAGACAGAGTGAGGAACTTAACAGGCAGATCAACTGAAATACACTGCTTAGGGGAACAGTGGGTGCTATGTGGGTCACTTCCCTGACTGGGGCTCGAACTCAGGCTGAAATGGCTGTGGTTCCCAGTTTATTAACCAAATAATAAAATTATTATTTTGTGATGTAGTATTTACATGTCCATGTTAGTCCTTTATTTGGTTTTATTTTCTGTACTTTTCTGGTTACAGACCAATTCACATGGTGAAACAGTGAAAACCTTATATTTCAGTTACCTTGCAGTCCTTCAGAAGGTAGCTAACCATGTTGCGCTGCTACAGACTATTAGCACCTCCAAACAACAGGTTTGGGTTAACTTTTCATATTCTTTGTGATGCTATTATGCTATTTGATATGAATACTTTCTATTTGTTATTAAATTTCTTAGCCAAATATATTTAATTTTTTTATATGCAATTCAGTGGAAAACTTGCCTTGCTTATTTTTGAATTTAGATGTTGAAGAATACAAATAAATGCATGTAGGTTTTTGACCAACATGAGAAATGTTAAGGTTAAATTAAAGCAATAATTTCTTTATGCCTCAATAATGTTCATATGTTTATTTTCTTTGACATCTTTTGTTATGAATACTAGACTAGATATCTGATGAGGTATTTCTAGTACTTCATTAACTTGTCAAATTACATTTCTTCAATATATTGAATTAAGAGGAGAATCTTTAATAATCTATTTATTAAATATTGGAAATATTTTACAAACAAAAATTTGAAAGTGTCAGCATAAGTACATCATTTACTTTGTTTTTTTTGAATTGTGTTTTATAATATTTTAGAGCACGTTGTAAGTTAAAAAACATTTTTAAAGCGTTTCAATTTAATGATATATTTTCTTTTTATATAAAGTTCATAAGCTGTTTAAAAGCAATTTTAAAATCTAATAAGAATTTAATGTTTTTTGACAGTGTTTGCTTTTGGGGGTATATTTGACTGTGTTTTGGAAATTTTTAGTAAGTAATGATAAAATTCATAGCCATATTATCTCATAACTAGTCATATGTGATTAATGTGCCACTTTAAGGTTTTCTGATTTAATGAGTCTGACTTAGAGAAGGCAAAATCTTGAAGTAATTTATTCTTTCTAAATGTATTTTTTAAAGTAGTTTCTATATATAAAGGTTTAAATGTGTATTGAAGTTTGTTTTCTAATTTTCCTTCTTAAGGAAACACTTATCAAAAGGATATGTGACAAGGTATTTTCTAGATTCCCAGACTTTGTGCAGAAAAGCAAAGATGCTGCTTTTGAAACACTTTCTGATCCAAAATATAGTGGAAAAATGAAAGTAAGTACTCTTCATTCAGCTTATACATATACATAGGAGGATACACAAGTATTAAATTCTGTGACAGGGAAACGAACTAGTGAGTTATTCAGAAGAATGCTGGCTGAATACGACTGGTGTCATATCAGCATTTACTGATTCACTATGAATCCTGGATATGGTAGATTCTCAATAAGTAGTAGTTACATTGAGTCTACCTCAAACTTTCCTTATTGATGTATTGGATTTATATCTTCTTAAAAATATATGCTATTACCACAAAAGAGTGAAGTGGTTACATGTAAGGTAAATCCTCTGCAAATGTTTAAGGGGATAATTTACCAGAAATATAAATGCTAATGCCAAATAGGAGGAGGTAGGCAGTAACTCAAAATTAAACAAAGGAACTTCTTGGAGAGTTTGAGCTGGGCAAAGCCTGTATTAAATATGAATAATCTTGTTTTGTTATAGCAATAAAACCGTGACTAGTAGCAATAACCTATGTATATATTTTTAGTACTGTTTCTTCATCATTTGATTAGTATAATCATCTGGGAATATACTGATCTAGTGATGCAAAACCTATAATAAACTTACATGGAATTATTATTGCCTAAAGGATTAAAAATTCCAAGTTCCATTTACTTCTTGAATTCAGGTTACAAATATTCAGATTGTATTATATGTGGACTTGTGATTGTGTTTACTTGTATATGTACTTCATAGCCTCAAAGCTACTCATGAACTCTAGTTCTTTCTTTTATGTATCAAGGTTTTTCTCTATGACCTCAAGCAATATTCAAAGGAATAATCATATGCTATTCTCATTTCCCTGATGCAAATTTTTATTTTTCCTTTCTTTGGAAATGCGACTGAGGTGCTAACTGGGGTGTGAGGAATACTGAGGGGTGATAGAGAAAAAAAGAGTAGGAAACTCAGTTTAGTGCTATTAGTTTGTTTCTGAGTAATTTGAGAAATGTTTGCTCCAAGACTCCTTAGTGCCTTTAAAAACCTCCAAATTTAGGATTGCATTATGTACTGGTTTTCCTGTTCTGTGGAAGATAACCAAGTGATTAAACATTAGGTCTGTAGACTCAGACTATACTGTCATTTCTGGTAAGGAATCTTTTTTTAATGTTATTCAAACTTTTTAGACTAACCTAATAAAGACCTACAGTCTAAAAACATTCACTTTCTTATTGTTTGTTTTTATTTTTAATCTAAGATATTTGAGAATACCAGAAATTGTCTTAGGTATGGAACCATCCCAGACAATAGAAATGAATTTCTGTGCATTATGTCTATGATTTTAAAGAGACTGAAAGACAAACCAGACTGAGAAAAAATGTTTGCAAAATAATAAAAGACTGGCATTCTTAACAAATCAGCGATAAGCAAACAATCCAATTTAAAAATGGGCAAAAGATCTTAACAGATACACCGCCAAAGAAGATATACAGATGGTAATATACATATAGGAAGATGTTCAATATCATATGCTATTAAGGAATTGCAAATTAAAGCAATGATATACCATTATACACCTATTAGAATGGCTAAACCCAAACCATTGACCATCCCAAATGCTGGTGTGGATGTAGAATAGCAGGGAATCTCATTGCTGGTAGCAGTGAAAAATTGTACAGCCACTTTGCAAGACAGTTTGGCATTTTATCAGACATTTAAACATACTTTCTTGAAATTCATCCAAAATTCACATCTCTTGCTATTGATCCAAGTAAGTTAAAAACTTATGTCTGCACAAGAGCCTGTATATGGATGTTTATAGAAGCTTTATTTATAATTGCCAAAACTTGAAAATAACTGAAATATCTTCCCAACTAAGGGGAATGTATAAACTGTCAAACCTAGACAATGCAATATTATTCAACAATGCAGAGCAATGAGTTATCAAACTATAAAAAGATGCAGGTATTTTAAATGTACATGCTAAGTGAAAGGAATCTAAATAGGCTACATATCATGGGATTCCAACTATATAACATTTTTAGGGAAGACAAAGCTGCAGAGAAAGTAAAATGATGAGTGGTTGGCAAGGGTTTGTGGGGTAGGATGCATAAATGGAGCACAAGGAATTTTAGGACGATAACACTGTTTTACTTAGTGGTAAATCTATTTACTTAGTGGTAAATACTAATATACATATATCAAAAGTCATAGAACTGAACAACATGATGAACCCTAATGTAAAATGTGTACTTTAGTTCATAATAATTTATCATTATTCATTTATTAGTTATTACAAGATATTATTAATTACTCTTTTATTAATAAGGGAACCTACATATTGGAGAGCAGTGAGGGGAATAAAAGAGTTAGGAGTTCTGTTTATATTCTGCCAATTCTTCCATAAATCTAAAATTGGCCTAAAACTAAGTATTAATTTAGAAAAGTTAATGTGTTATGTCAACATCAGATGCACATATTATAGATTATTTCATTTAACAATAAGACTACTGCAAATAAGACTTACTTCATTTTTTTTATATATTAGCAGAGTTTTTGCCTGATATGTAACATTTTTTATTCCCCACTTAGTTATCTAAGCTTTTTTTACTTTAACTCCATTGCATTTTTGAGGCATTGAGTTATAAAGATCAGTTAACATAATGTCTTCGCTAGCTCAGTTATTAAAAAAGTACTATTTTGATATATTTTTTCAATTTAAAAGTTTGAATATTCATCATTGAATAAATTTGCATGTGTTTATTGCATTCGTTCAGAAAAACTGTAGACTTCATGCAGAAATGACTTCTCTTTTTTTTTGTGATTGTGCTTCCACAGTGTCCTGAAGCTGTTATTGCTAGACGTGGAAATGGCCTGTTTTAAAAATAACCCTATTGCTATTATACATGGGCTTTGGATTATTTGCAGGCAGATTATTTGCATTTTGAGGTCAAAACTACATCTAGAAGTCAAGGGTACTATAAATAGAGAAACTGAGGTGAGAAATTGAGAAGAAAATAAATAATCAAGGCATAGAACCTAGATGTTTTTGAACACATTTCATTATATTTATCTAGAGAAAATTTAAGTACTTCCTAGAAAGAATGCTACTCTGTAATTTAGTTCCTGAGCATATTGTAGGTATAAAGAAAGCATTTTGGAAATTAAATTAATGCATGTAAATGAATGCCATAATCTGAAATGCTACTATTTTATTAAAACCAGATGAGATGAAATAAAAGCCTTCGGGAACTTTACCTCATTATTGACAATATGATGATGACTAGCCCTCATCTAATAGCTGAAACATTATTTCCCTAACTTGGCAAAAATTAAGGGAATTAAGAAAGGGGACTGAGGTTATGTTGTATAAAAACAATTTTAAAGAAATTCTTAGGAAACGTTTATGTATATAAAGTGTACTTTTAGTTGGAACTGATTCACTGATGTTCTGTGGTTCATTTCCAGGTCCTTCAGCAGCTTTTAAATCATTGCAGGAAAAACAAAGATAAAGTTCTTCTTTTCTCCTTTTCCACCAAGGTGAGTTTTAGCTTAAGTTTATTCTTGAGTCACCCAAACCTGACTCCTGAGGCACAAACCCTGAGCGACTTAACCGTGTACACCCATATTTTCTGTCTTACCCATACTGTAGGACATGGTAGTGAAATAAGCAGTGGACAATTAAACCTGTGTTATATCAGGGTTAGTTTCATAGCAAACTCAAAAGATAGATTTTTTCATTTGTTTTTGGTATTTTTGTTGAGTAACCTGTTCTTTGAAACATACAAGAGATTTTTTTAATGTATAAAATAATACAAATAGTCAGCTATATTTTCATAAAAGTTTTGGCTAGTATGTTCCATTTTTATTTTGTTTAGTAAGATTTTTTTTAAAGATTTATTTATTTATTCATATAGAACTGGGGTACAGGCCAGAGATGTGGAGGGTGAGTGGACTCACCAGAGGTAGAGTAGGGAACAGAACAGGCAGATCAATGAAGTACACTGCTGAGGGGAGCAGCAGGCGGGTCAGGAGAGGTCTGCCTTGCCATGTGGATCTCCTTGGGGGCAGGCGGGAATCGAACTCATGTGGAAGTGGCTTAAGCTTCTTAGTGCTGTGTTTTAACCCGCTGCGCCACCAGGGAGGGCCCATTAGTAAGACTTTTTTTGAAAGTTTTTTTTTTTTCTTTCCCAAAAGCAAAGACTGTTGAATGTTAAAGTCAGTTACTGGATAATTGGAGGAGATGTATGGGTCAGAAGTGAGGAAAACATTTGTTCTTATAATTAAAAGAGTTAAATTGTGAACAGCAATAGTTAATGATTAATAATGACTAGGAATCTCATCTCAGTAGTTAGATGAAACTTAGTAAGTCATGAATTTGTCTCTGCCCATCTCCCTACCTTTCCTCTAGCTGCTTGATGTGCTGCAGCAGTATTGTATGGCATCTGGGCTTGATTTCCGACGACTTGATGGAAGTACCAAATCAGAAGAAAGAATCAAGATCGTGAAAGAGTTCAACAGCACACAAGATGTTAACATTTGCCTTGTTTCCACAATGTAAGAAAATAAATGATATCTTGATTTTTACCTTACTGTAAGATTTTAAGATTTAAGATAACTTTTATAATATCGCTGTATACTTATCAGTGGTTATGCTTAAATTGCTTTGTTTTATTTGACTTTAGGGAGAAGCAGCAAAAAATGCTATTAATTATGACTGAAATAACACTTACCTTGAGTCTTACTAAAAACCTTTCTGTCAATTTCCCTATCAGCACTGAATTCTACTTAGATGTCTGGGATTATAAAGACAGCAATTAAAAAAAGAGTGTTTCCTGGTATTCATTTGCTGTGGTAGTCTCTTGACTCATATTTTGTGGTTAGAACAACCAGACTTAAATGAGCCATAAATTTATTAATTCAATAACAGAAACTGAGTTGTAGCAGTGGTTCTTAAACTGTCTTCAAGGAGCCCTAGAGAGCCCACTGGGCCACGTGTTTCCCTCTTTTTTCTCTACCTTATCTCAACTACAGCAACTCTATACTTAGGCTTTTATAAATGTTAAATTGGTTCTTTTTTCTTTTTTTCTTTTTTTTCTTTTTTTTTTTTTAAGATTTTATTTATTTAGGCCAGAGATGCAGGGAGGGAGGACAGGGGTGAGTAATGTGAAAGGATTCACCAGGGACAGAGAAGGGAGAAGAACAGGCAGATCTACTGAAATACACTTCTGAGGAGAACAGCAGGCGAGGCAGGAAAGGTCTGCTGTGCCATATGGATCAGCTCCCTGGCCTGGGTTTGAACTCATGCTGCAGTGGCTGGTGATAGCTTCATGGTGCTGAGACTTAACCCCTTGGTCCACCAGGAAGGCCCCATAGATCAGTTCTTAAAACCTAATTATGAGTTTCTTATTAAAAGATCTTAAAGAATATACACACTTTCAAGAAAGAAGAGTTTTTGCCTTTTCCCTTAACTCAATCTTCAATTTTAATTTCAGAATTTCTTTGAAGAATGCTACCTCCATGGGTAGAAACTTCTTTTGTCTCATATAAGGCATCTGGGATAAATTAATTTCAAAACTTAAAAAGCTAAATGGAGCAGTTGGTTAGATTTATTTTTGGTGCTGTTCATCTAAGTCTTAGAAAATATTTCTGAATTTCAACTTATTTTAGTTACTTCTAGGTGATTTTTTCATATAGGCAATCTAATGGATAGTTAATCACATTTTTTCCAATCACAATATTAGACAGATAAATCTTTAATGTTTCTTCTGTTTGAATGATAGCTAATTTTCACTTGTTCTCATAATGTACTGATTTATTTTATGCTTTCCAAAACTGTTTTCTATCATACCTTATTATTATTTTTTTTGCCTTCAAGTGCTTGAGGAGTCTTTATGCCATCACATCTCAAATAAGTAATTTTCCCAGAAAGATAAAATTCAGTTTTTTTTAGCATTGAATTTTAAGTCAAGACATAAGGATTTAAATCCAAACACTGGCTTTAGGAGACTTTAATCTTTCGGATTCCCAGTTTCTTGATGTAAAAAATGAAGATAATGATTATCTCATAGAACTTTTTGAGGATGGACGAACAGGATATATGAAAATATCTTGTACAATTTCAGTCTATCATAGCTGTTCAATAAATGTTCATTGTTTTCTATTTTGATATAAGCTAAAGAAGAGAAGAATATTAATATTTTCTTTCCTTGAAAGATTGGCACCCAATATAAAGCATTATTTATGTGTGAGTTGTATTGTGTCATGGTCTAGTCATTTGGGAAGGGAAATTCAACAGAAAGGCTGTTCAGATTAGAAAAACAGACTGTTGAGATTAGAAAAACCTTTGAGGAAAATAAAGATTATTTTAGTTTTGAATTTTAATTTTGTCTTCCCTTTTAAAAAAATATAAAATGTCATCACATATTTGACCAAAGATAAAATTTGACTTTCCATTTAAGTAGCAAAAAACTGTAGTGTCAGTAGTAACACAACCTCATTCTTCATCTTGACTTTCAAGATTATATACTGATTGACTAGAAACAACTTCTAAGCAAACTATGTAACTTAAACCATAGTGTATTAATAGTTATTTATAAGAAGTAAATTAAGGATTTGGGGTACTAAGCTTCAAAAGTCAAATTTTCCACGATATAGGTGCTTTTTACTGGTCCCACACAATGAGTCATAGTTTGAAAGGCTCTTAAGAAACATTATTTTGTTTCTCTTATCATTATTCCATAAACTATATCTTAACTTCCTCAGAAAGATGAGAACAGCATTTCTTTTGCTATAGAGTGTCCAGAAAGTGATTCTAAGCACCACTCTTAAAATAACTCATTGGAATCATATATAGCATATGCCTCTTGATGAAAATTTTCCTTTTTGCTATGGCTATGTATGACTGGTTAACGGTTATATTGTCTAATCCATCTCATGCCCTTTTGTTCAATTCATTGACCCTTAATGAATAAGAAGTGTGTTTATTTGTGTGGGTCTTTAAGGAGCTCTGGAATGCAAAAAAAAAAAAAAAAACCAAATTTACTGATGTTGTATATAAAGTTCCATAACTATTTAAGTTATAGCTATAGAAAGAAAGACCATAGAAGGATGATGATACTTTACCTTAACCTTTATAGATGTCATTACAAATAAAAGGTAGGGCTCATTGGGTTAAAGGGCAGCACTATAGAGCTATCCATAGCCACTGCCGCACAAGTTTGATCCCCAGTTGGGGGTGACCCACATGGCACAACAGACCTCTCCTGTTCTGCCTGCTGCTCCCCTCAGCAGTGTATTTCAGTTTATTCACACATTCTACTCCCCACTCTGGTGAATCCACTCAGCCCCCTGCACCTCTGGGCTAGACTCCAGCTTTTGTATGTAATAAATAAAATAAACCTTGAAATCCTCATTCAAAAACATCTGAGCCATTACAGTGTTTTCATCTATTGATTACCTTTTTTTATGCAAGATGAAATTTTCTTGGTTTTTGCTGTCACTGGTAATTTTTATTGTATCCTGGACATTTTGAGTATTATGTTATCAGACTCTATATCTTATTTAGATTTTCTGTTTTAGTAAGTTGTATAACAGTCAGGTAGATATGGAAGTTGAGGCTTCCGGCTTGACCTCTGTTGACATCCTGAGGATGAGGTGCTTTCTTACTGAGCTTGTCTGGCATACACTGACAGTGCAAAGTGAGACCTCATGATTACTAGACAAAATGAAAGCTTCAGCTTCTCACTGTACTTAGTCTTTTTTGGTACTATTCAAGTGCAGTGAAAGATGCTTTGTCGTGGCTAAGCAACAATGGGGCTCTAGTTTCCTCAATCTCTGCTAACCAGATTGGGGATATAACCACCACTTTTTTTCCATCACATTTGCAGGAATAGGATAGTTATTGTTTAACATTTTTCAATCTTAAAATACTGCATTTTTCCTTATTTTTTAGCTAATGGAACAAGCGCACCTTTTTTTTTTTTTTTCACTGTTGGCACTTCCGCTTTGCAATTATCCTCAGAACCCAGTTTCAATATATTATGCAAAACTAAAGCTAGGGAACTGTCATGTCATTCCTTAGGTCTTGTAATCCCTAGCCAGTTTGTATACTCTCACTCTCTGGTTTGCTCATGCTCTCTCTCTCTCTCTCTCTCCCTCTCCTTCTCTCTCCCTGTGTCTTTTTTATTTTGTCTAATGTCCAGGGATTTTAGCTGCACTTAGTGCAAGGAATAGGAGAAATGTGTTTATACCTGAAGTGGTTTTTAAATTTTGTGTGTGTGTATGTATGTGGGTGTGTGAGTAGATAGGTAGGTATTACTTTATTAAGCTGAATATAATAGCAGTTGTTTTCAATTATGTTAGGAAATTCTTGCAGAAACAATATTTGAATGTTCAAAAATGTTAAAAACAGCACAGTCTATATATACTCTAAAGATCAGATACTTTAGGAATATTATAGAGTAGTAGACTTTTTCTTAGGTATTTCCACTTATCTCTATTCTGTTCTTTTGGTTATAGAATATGGCAAAATTGGGGCCCTTCCATGGGGGCACAGCAGTGTACATTATCAATGTGCCTGTTCTGTTTCTGGTGAATCCTCTTGCCACTCCTGTACCTCTGGCTGTATCCCAGTTCTGTATGCATAAATTAAAAAAAAAAAAAAAGAATGATGGCAAAATTGAGTTACAGGGGAGTATTACCTTCTCCCCTTTTTAATGTACTATTTTCTGTTTCCTCTAGGGCTGGTGGACTAGGTCTCAATTTTGTTGGTGCCAATGTTGTTGTATTATTTGATCCTACTTGGAATCCAGCCAATGATCTTCAAGCCATTGACAGGTATAATACTGAAAAAAAAATTAAAATACTTTTAAAAAATATTTTTTGCAGAAAATCAAAGAAGGTAACACTTCTAGGTCAAAAGTTTTGAGAAACTCCTGGAAGTTAGGGAACGAAATCTGTATATCTGTATGATCAAGAAGCCAACAGAGAAAAACCACAACCTAAAGTCAGTAAGAGAGCAAAGATAATTTAGGCATGGGGTCAGCAACTATAAGATGTGAGAACAAGCCAGAATACAATCTTCTGGGAAATTAATTATAAATAAGTGTGGAATCTTACTCACAAAAGGTTTTTGGGATGAATCTGTTGGAATCAGATCATAAAGCAGAACCAAACCTAAAGTAATCCCAAATCCCCACAGGACAAAAAAAAAGGGGAGCAATGACTAGATAAATTTGTGTACCTGCATGAAAACCCAGACCAGCTCTCCTTTACAAGAGCTCCAATTCCTCATTTGTAACTTAGAATGGAAAATTCTGGCCACAGGATGCCAAAGTGAGAAAGATAGAGAGAAAATTATGTAAAAATCCAACAAGGGAATCATACTCATTTCTGCAGATAAGACTTTGAGAAATAAACGTTTTATTTGCATTGATGATTTCAAAAAATAGAATTGTGAAAGGACAAAATTCAGATGACTTTACCTGAAAATTATTTTGATTTGTAATCAAAGGATAAAATATCAATATGTGAGTCAAAAATAAAAGCAACTGTTATTATCTAGAACTGAGAAGATATATTATCATGGGGTAAAATTCACTATTTAAAGATTTAATCCAATACATGAAATAGTAACCTGTATACAAAGAAGACATCCCAAGCCATTTATAGTAAAAATACAAATAACATTTGTATTTATACTTAAATCTAAGCAATTGTTGATGGTGTTGCACAGAGGCTTAAAGAATGAATTTTCACAGATATGAGGCATAGTATAAAAAATAATAATCAAGAACTAAAACTGCATGTAATATTGGGGTATGGTAATGGGGAAAATTGTGCTAGAAATTTTCTTCTATCTGGAATGGATTAGAATATACTTTTCAGCTTTCAGAATTTATGCAGAACAATGATTTTAAATGCTAGCAAAACATCTACAGGTTTTAACTAAAAGAGTAGGGCATAATAATCACCTGTGACTTCATATGTTCAGGCTTCACCCACCAAGTTTTTCTGTTCTGTAGGTCTAGAGTTAAAAAAATTCTCAGGATAACCATTGTGAAGGGTATTATAACACTATAAAAAGGCCACCCATAGAATAGAAAATATTTGCATATCACATATATGACAAAGGTTAATATTTGGAACCTATAGTCTCAACAACAAATAATAATACAATTCAGAAATGGGAAAAGGACTTAGATATTTCTCAATGAAAGATTTACAAATGGCCAATAAGCACATCAAAAGTTGTTCAACATCGCTATCACTTGGAAAATCAAACTACAATGACACATCACTTCATGCCTAATAGGAAGACTATTGACAAAATAACTGAAAATAACAAGTGTTATTGAAGGTGTGAAGAAATGGGAACCTTGTGCCATGCTGGTGGGAATATAAAATGGTGCAGTTGCCATGGAATAAAATATGGTGACTTTCAAAAAATTAAGCTTAGAATTACATTATCATCTAGCATTTCTTCTTGTAGATATACCCCAAGAATTGAAAGCAGGAATGCAAGCAAATTTTTGTAGAGCTATGTTCATAGGAGAAACAAAAAATATTTTTCATCACAGTGGAATACTAGTCAGCCTTTAACAAAGGAATGGAATCCCAAACTGACTACAACATGGATGAACCTTTAAAGAGTTTGTGCTAAATGAAATAATCTTGCCACTAAAGGACAAATAGTGAATGGTTCCACTTGAGAATCTGACTATCTAGGATAGTCAGATAGAAAGTAGAATGGTAGTTATGAGGGTCTGATGGAAGGGGTGTAGGGAGGTCTTGGATATAAAGTTTCAGTTTGGAATAACAAAGTTGTGGGGATATATGATGGTGATTGCTGTACAATAGTGAATTTTCTTAAAGCTGTTGAACTGCTGTTAAAAACAGTCAAGATTTTAAATCTTGTAATACATTACTACACTTAAAAATCATAAAACACTCTCAAGGTAATGGTGATACTTCTGATCATCAAATCCATTTGAGAAACACTAAAAAATAGTTGTAAAACATCCACCAGAACTTCCCAAAGTAATTTTAAAGGGGGAGTCAAGAAAATATATTAGTAAATGATTGGAAATATGAGTGTCTGGGGCAGGGGAGGTAAAGGAAACTTGGAATACTAAACATAAAATGTTAGAAATACTAGATTAATGAAATGTTAGGAATACTAAACATAAAATGTTAGAAGTAAGGTCAAACGTAAATATGAATTAGTTCAAACTCCCTTAAAAAGAGCAAAAAAAAAGAGTTTCAGGTTTATGTTTATTAGGACACATAACACACACATATAAATTAAAAACTCATAGAAAGTTAAATATATAGAAAAGTACCTGATCACAGAGTTGGTAATAATGATAAAAAGAAAGTGATAAAATATTAATAAGTTCAAAGTAAACTGTATTAAGGAAAATAAAATAGGATACAGTTCATTAGGAAAGTATAATAATTGCTACACAACAAAACCAAAAGTCATATGATGAAAGTGCACAAATCTCCAAATGTGTTGGGACACTCACTGTCTCTCAAAATTAATAGATCACCTAGACAAAAAGTAAGTTGAATAATAGTTGCCTAGCTTATTTCAATGCGCATATATATGTATCCTTATAATACAGAATACCCTGTATTTTCAAACATTTGTAGAGCATTTTAAAAATGACTATAGTCTGTTATAGAAACCATAGGATAGATTCCTTTTTTAATAAGTTTTCAGGTTTATTATTTCTTTACAAAACTGTGTAATTCGGATCCACCCTCAGTATGCATATATGTCTTCCTCACCCACCACCAAAGCTCTAGTGCCATTGTACCATCACATTGAGTCCCTCCACTCTTCCTTCATTCCCTTTTCTTCACCCTCTGATGTCTCGTATTTTTTCAGTGCTAAGAGTTACTTTTATACTGTTTCGCCAGTTTGTTTTCTTTGGTTTTTTATATTCCACAAATAAGTGAAACCATCTGGAAATTCTTTCACTTTCTGATTTACTTCTCTAAGCATAATCAACTCGTGTCACTAAAACCATGATTTCATCTTTTTAATCAGCTAATAATAGTCCATTGAATATGTATACCATATGTTTCAAAGTTTCTTTTCTTAGACATCATCCATTGTTGAGCATTTAGGTTGATTCCATCATTTTATATTTATTTATTTATTTAATCTATTTGTTTATATATAATTTGGCTATTGTAAATAATGTTGCTCTGAACATAGGAGTGCATGTATTTTTCATAATAGGGTTTTCGTATTTTTCAGATAAATGCCTAGGTATGCTATTGCTAGCTCATATGCATTTCCATTTTTAGTTTTTAAAGGAATCTTCCTATTACTTTCCATATAGACTGCACTAAATTACTTCCCCACCAACAGTGAATGTATTTTCCTCATGACTGCTTTTGATAATTTAACAATGATGTGTCTCAGTATAAGTCGGTTTGCATTTATTAGGTATTTTGTCACCCCCTGGACATTTATGGTTAGATTTGTGAAATTCTTGGCTATTATTAGTTTGAATAAAGTCTCTGTTTCCATCTCTCTTGAGCTTGAAATACCTATTATCCTCATGTTTTCTTTCTAATGGAGTTTGGTAGTGTTCTTAGAATTTCAGTTTTTTCTTAATTTTTTTTCTCTTCCACTTGAGTTATGTTTACATTTTTAACTTCTACTTCACTCTTTTTTTTTTGGCAAGATTAACCCAATTTACTTTGCTTGCCATGGTTGTCTTCACTTTACTACATTCCTTATATCTAGCATCTCTGTATTTTCTTTTTTTGTAGTCTTTATTTGATGAAGAATTCCTACTCCTGTATTTTTTTTTTTGGTGGGGGGGTGCATATCCTGCTTGTCTTTCTGTTGTTAAGTAAGTGTCTTGGACTTCACTGAGTTTCTTCTAGATAATTCTTCTAAACTCTGTTAACTTCTCCAATTCTGTGTTAAGTTGAAACTCTGGACCTTTGATCCTTCTCTTCTATCATTTCCATCCAATGTTTCCTAGATTGAGCCTTTCCTTCAAAGATGTCTTGATTTCTTTTCTCCCCCAGTAAGCACCACTGTGCCTATTAGGCTTATCATTTATCTAGGCAGTAAGGGAGGAAAGTGTGTAGAAGTGGAAATCTAAATGCCTCAGTCACAGTATTAGGTTGGAGGAGGGCAGGTCAAGGCTGGGAAACCCAAGTTTTATTCCTTGCCCAAAGGCTGCTTTCCACATTTCTGCCTCTGTATAGTAGACCCCCATGGTTTGCAGCAGGTTTCTCTCCAACCTCAGAATCTTTCAGTTCCCAAAGGGTGGGAAGGAGAGTTGAGACCCCTACCGCTTGTCGGTGCTATCACTAGTTAGACTTGCTGGGACTGAATACCCTGTTACAGGACTCAGTTAGCAGGCCACATAGTACCTCACCTTCACTATGGAGGTCACCTGTGCCAACCTGTGGTATAGTAGTGTATGCCCTTTCCTAGTTTGTACCTCCATCAGGAATGGCCACCAGTGTGGCCACAGCTGTCCCCTACCCTTTCACTTCTGCACTACTTTAGCACACAACTACCTGGTGGTAGGGGGGATATATGGGTTATTCATGCACAGGTGGTGAGCTGGTAAGATTCACTTTTAAATATAGTTGATTCTGTTTGTACTTAGGAAGCAGGTTGCCAATATGTCTGTCCCACTTGTTTTTTATGTTTTGATGAGGTTAATTGGCATCCAATGAACTTTACCTGTTTAAAGTGTATAATATGTAAGTTTTGATATATGTATATATCATAAGCCACCATAATCAAGGTAGTGGTCCTATTAATAATTCCAAGAGTTTCTCCTTAGCCCTTCATAATCCACCCTCCCTATGACTTCCCCTGCTTCTACTCATAAAGAGCCACTGATCTGTTCTCTCTCATCATGGATTAGCCTGCATTTTTGAGAGCTTTCTATAAATGAAATCATTCGGAAGCATAATCCAGTCATAAACTTAAGACTGTCATAAAAGTCTGAATTTAGGATGTTTTTAGACAGTGAAATATGTTTGTAATCAAAGTAAACTTGTTATGTATGTAATTTGAAATTTTTTGCAGTTCAAATTTTATATACACATTTTAATTGAATTTTATATACATATTTAAAATTTTTACATACATATTGTTTAATTGAAGTATCATTTTCTTACATTCTTGTTACTCTCCCACTACCAAATCACCCATAGTTTCCCACCATAGTCCATTATGCTGGCCCCATTTTCATGTCTTACCCTCTATCTCCTTCTCCCTTCCTGATGACTCAGATATTTTCAAAAGTTTTTAAGGTTTGTCATTGACTTTTTAGTTGTTCCACATTCCACATTCCACATATAAGTGAAACCCTCTACGATTTATCTTTTTCCTTCTGCCTTATTTCACTAAGCATAATCCCTTCCTACAAAAGGAATGAGTTTATCTTTTTTGATTGCTGAGTAGTATTCTGTTGTGTATATTTATCTTATCTTTTTGATCCACTCATCCATTTGGGGGCATTTATTTTGTTTCCTTATCTTGATGGAACTTATAAATAGAATTGCTGTAAACACAAAAGTTTGGGTTTCCTTTTAAACTAGTGTTTTTTAGTTCTTTGGGTAGATTCCTAGAAGTGAAATCACAGCATTATGGGTGGCAGATTCATTTTCAGCCTTTTGAGGAAAATTCACACTATTTTTCACAGAGGCTGATCTATATTATCACCACAGTGTAAGAAGGTTCCTTTTTCTCCACACCCTTGCCAGTACTTGTTTTTGGTTCTTTTTTTAACATCGGGCTGTTCTCACAGGTATGAGATGGTATCTCATTGTAGTTTTGATTTGTATTTCCCAAATTATAAATGATGATGAACCTTTTTTCTTACTCCTGCTTGCCATTTGTGAATCTTCATTGTAGTAATGCCTATTTAGCTGTTCTGCTTACTTTTTTATTGGGTTATTAATTTTGTTTTGAGTTGTGTGAGCTCTTTTTAGATCTTTGATATCAGTCCCTTATCCCATACATGTGCAAATATATTCTCCCATTCAGTAATGTATCTGCTTGCTTTGATTATTACCTCTTTCCCTGTATAGTAACTTTTTATTATATTAACATCAATTCCACTTATCCCCAATTTCTCATTATTAATGGATACTGACTCTTATCAAATGCTTTGTCAGCATTTGTTGATATGGTCATATTATTTGCACTTTCTTTTTGTGGATGTAGTGAATTACACTCATTTTCAGATGTAGAACCATCTTAAGTGTGCCTGGTATAAATTGTATTTGGCCATGATGTACAATCCTTTTAATGAATTGTCACATTCAGTTTGTTAAGATGTTATTGAAGATTTTTACATCTGTGTTTGTAGAGATTGTTTCATAGTTTTCTTTAATTGTGTCATCTTTGGTTCTGGTATTAGCACAATGTTGGCATAATAAAATGTGTTTGGAAGAAGCCCTTCTTTCTCGATTTTTTGAAAGATTCTAAGCAGGGTAGATATTAGTCCATCTTTAAAAGTTTGGTAGAAATCTAGGGCTCTCCCTGGTGGTACAGTGGGTTAAAGCATCGCATTATGAATCTCTCTGAAGCTACTTCAGCATGAATTAAATCCCCAGTAAGGGAGCTGACCCACATGGCGTGGCAGACCTCTCCTGACCTGCCGGCTGCTCCCCTTAGCAGTGTACCTCAGTATATCTGCCTGTTTTTCTGCTCCCTGTTCTGCCTCTGGTGAATCCTCTCACCCACCACACCTCTGGCCTATACCCCAGTTCTGTATGCATAAATAAATCTTAAAAAAAAAGTTTGGTAGAATTCACTTATAAAACTATCTGGTCTTAGCCTTTGTTTTTTGGGAGAGTTTTGGTTACTTTTTAAATCTTTTTTGTGATTAGTTTGTCAGGTTTTCTATTTCTTCTCTTCAGAGCTCTAAAAATCTGTCCATCTCATATGAGCTCTTCAACTTATTTGCATATAGTTGTTCATAGTAATCTCATGTTATGCCCTGAAGTTTTTCACTGTTTGTTTTCCTTCTCCTGTGTCATTTTTAATACTATTTATTTTCATTTTCTTCCTCTTTGTGAGCCTGGGTAGAGGTTTGTCTGTTTTGTTTATATTTTCAAAGAATGAACTTTTGGTTTCATTGTCTTTTATACTGTCATTTTGATTTCTAATTCATTTATATCTGCTTTGATTTTTAGTTCCTTCTTTCTACTGACTTTGGATTTTGTTTTTTTTCTTTTTTTTTCTTGCTCCTTGAGATGTGAGATAAGATTATTTGGGCTCTTCCTTGATATGAGTTTATATGGCTGTATACTGCCTCTTAATACTACTTTTGCTGTGTCTCATACATTCTAGAAGGTTGTGAGCTCATTTACATTTTACTTTAGTTTTTTTCTTTTTTGTTAATTTCTTCTTTGATTTTCTCATTAACTCAGTGATCTTTCAGTATTGTGTTATTCAGCCTCACAAATTATTTTCTTGTTTTCTTTTTGTAATTTATTTTTAGTTAAGTATCTTTATAGACAAAGACGATACTTGGTATGATATCAGTTTTCATGAATTTTTTAAAAAGATTTATTTACTCATGCATACAGAACTGGGGACAAGCCAGAGGTGTAAGGGCAGTGAGAGGATTCACCAGGGACAGAGTGGGGAGCAGAGCAGGCAGGTCAGTGAAGTACCCTGCTGAGAGTGAGGGAAGCAGTGGGCAGGTCAGGAGAGGTCTGCCATGCCGTGTGGGTCACGTCCCTGGCCAGGAATTGAACTTGTGCTAAAGTGGAGTTAGCTTTGTAGGGCTGTGCTACCAGGGAGAGCTCTAGTCTTTATGAGTTTTATGTTGCTTGTGAATTCACTGTGTGAATTCACATATGTGAATGCCCCATATGCATTCGAGAAAAATGTGTATAGGGAGTTTTTGAGGTACAGTGCCCTATAAATATCTGTTAAACCCATGCAGCCTAGTTTTTTGTTTAGGCCAATTGTGCCCTGATTAATTTTCTGTATTGTTGAACTATTTGTGAGAGTGGTGTGTTGAAGTCTTCAGCCACATATGCATTTTCTCTAATGTGTATTTTCAGATTGGATGGTAGTTTTCTTATGTATTTTGGTGTTCCTTCATTTGTTGGATATATACTGAAGAGTGTTACATGTCTTGTTTTTGTATTATTCCCCTACTTACTTAGTGTTTATCCCTATCTCTTGTTATCTTTTTAAGTTTAATGTCCATTTTACCTTAATTAAGTATGGCTGTCCCTGACTTCCTGGGTTACAATTTGCATATCAAATTGTTTTTCATCCCTTTAGTCTTGGAATTTAGGTATATTCCCTAACGCCATCAGAAGGTGGATACTGTTTCCTAATTCGAATAGATATTCTGTGTCTTTTTATTGGTGAGGTTAGCCCAGTGATACTTAAGAGTGATTATTATATAAGAAAGTCTGCTACTGCCATTTATAAATAGTTTTGTGGCTTTGTTTAATTTCTTGTTCAGTTCTTTGTATTCATCCTTCAATTTGGCTCCTTTTAATATTTCATGGAATGGAGGAGTTAGTGGCTGCAAAATCCCTAAGGTTTTGTTTGTCTAAGAAGGCTCAGTTTCTCCTTCATATTTCGGAGAGAGATTTGCAGAATGGAACATTCTTTGCTGGCAATTTTTATCTTGGAGTATTTTGAATATGTCACTCCATTTTTTCTTGCCCATATTGTATCTACAGAGAAGTCTGAAGTTAGCCTAACGAAGATTTTTTTTTTCCGACTCTTGGAAGTTTCACTACTTTATGTCCTGCTGTAGGTCTTCCTTTGTTTAGGTAGTTAGTGTTCTTTCAGCTTTCTGTAGTTTTGTGTTCAGTTCCTTCTTCAAGTTTGGAAAGTTTTCTTCATTTCTTTAAGTGATTTTTTTTAGTTTTCTTCTCTCTCTTCTGGGATGCCTATGATTCTTATATTTCATTTCATCCTGATGTTAGACATCCTCAAAATGTCACTTCATGTTTTTCCCCTTTAAATATAATCTTTTCTATTTTTATTCTTTTCCCATGTGTGTCTTCAAGAATTAATCTTCCATTTGTTTTATTCTACCTCTTATCTTTCTACAAATTTTCATCTCATTGATTTTTTTACATTCTGCAATTACATTATTTTCTTATTTAATGTTCAAGTTGGGTCTGTTCCTTAACTTTGTTTCTCATAGCATTCATTAGCTTTTCTGTTTTCTTTGTATTTCTTCATTTCTTCAATTTTCTTAATTATGGCATTTTGAATTCTGTATCATATAGGAGGCAATTCTTCATGTGTTTGTAGTTTGGTTCTGGAAACATGTTTTCTCTCTGTGGTGTATTATTGCCCTGAAGTCTTGGCTGGCCATTTGTAATTTTTTCCCTCCATTTTGCTTGCTTACAATTTGTTCTGCCCTAATTGGAATTTTTTAGAGTACGTGAGCCCTTCTTTCCCATATTTACGGATTTTTACCCATATGTTGATGGGCACAGCATCTGGGGCTCATTGGGTTCTTGGGTGATGTTAGCTCTCTCTGGTTTGTCTTAGGGTGTTCTGATACATCCATGGGTAGCTGTGGGGCATGATCAGCAATTGAGCATTAGAGAGCTCACATCAGTGCTCCTCAAGGCATTCTTCCACTCTGCCTTTAATTAAAGTTTTAGTAATTTTCCACTGTCATGTCCAAAAGATATCTCCTGAAGCTAAAATTGTTTCCTTGACATTTGTTTTCTTTTGTCACTTACCTTTTTGCAGAGCATATAGGATTGGACAATGCAGGGATGTCAAAGTGCTTAGGCTGATATCCTTGGGAACTGTGGAAGAGATCATGTACTTACGACAAATATACAAGCAGGTAATTTTGTTTCCCTTTTTCTAACTGAAAATTAAACATTTGTCCTCAAAAATTTGGAATAGATGTGCATCAAAGTATTTTAATTTTATACTAACTACAGCACAAAATTTAATAAAATCATGAAATATACTCTAAAAGAAATGTTCTTATGGGGTATCCCTGGTAGCACAGAGGTTAAAGACAGCACTCTCAAGCTATTGCCAGCCAGACAGCAGGAGTTCAGTCCCCAGCCAGCCAGGAAGCTGACCCACATGGTATAGCAGACCTCTCGTTTCACCTGCTGCTCTGTTCAGCAGTGTATTTCATTCACTATGCCTGTTCTGCTACCACTCTGTCTCTGGTGAATTCTCTCAGCCCCTACAGCTCTGGCCTATACCTCAGTTCTTGTATGCATAAATAAATAAATCTTAAAAAATAAAAGAAAGGTTCTTAAAGTAGTGAATTTTAAACTTTTGTGTACACATATAATAAGGACATCTTTCCATTACTTTGTGTCTTCTATTTCTTATAAAAATCTCTCATAGCATTTTTAGTATAGGCCTTTCACCTTTTTTTAAGTTCATTCCCACCTGTCTAATTATTTTGGTGTAAATGGGGTTGAGTTTTGAATTTTTTTCCTCTTCTAGAACTGTTTGCATATAGGAAAGTAATTGACTCTTGTGTACTGATTTTGTATCCACCACTTTGCTGAATAAGTTTTTTTCATTAAATCTTTTGCATTTTCTGTTAATATTGTTGTGTCATCTTTCAAATGATTCCTTTTATATCTTTTCTTCTCCTAATTGCTCTAGTAAGGACTTTCAATACTATGTTTAATAATAAGGTGAAAGTGCACATTTTTGTCTTGTGTGCTAGATCTTAGTGGAAAAGATTTCATTTTTTTCACTATTGAAAATTATGTTTGCTGTGGCTTTGTCATAAATGGATGTTGGGATATACATTGGGGTATGTTCCATTTGTCATAAATGGATGTGGAACCTTAAAAATGCTATCTCAACATCTATTGATAGGATAGTGTGATTTTTATCTTAACTTTTATTGAAGTGGTAGATTGTGTTGATTGGTTTTTGCTTGCTGAACAATCTTTGTGTCCCTAGGATAAATCCCACTTGGTCATGATATGTATCCTTTGATGCATTGTTGAATTAAGTTTGCCAAGATTTTGTTGAGGATTTTACATCGCTGTTTATCCAGGAAATTAGTCTGTAGGTTTTTGTGTTGTTTGTTCCTAGTTTTTGGTATTAGGTAATGTTGACCCTATAAAACATGTTTGGAAGTGTTCTTTTTCTTAATATTGTTGGTAGTGCTTGAGAAGGATAGATATTAGCTCATCTTTGAAGGCTTAATAGTACTTATTAGTGATGCCATCTGGTCTTGGACTTTTGATTTTAGAGAGACTTTTGATTACGCTATCTCTTCTAGGTTATTCAACTCCTTGGTATACAGTTGGTTATAGTAATTGCATAATCCTTTGAATTTCTACTCTGCCTGTTGTTTACTATTTCCTTCCTTCTACTGGCTTTTGGACTTGTTTGTTCTCCTAATTCTTTAAGTGAAAGATAAGATTGACTATTTTAGCTCTTTTCTTGATGTGGGCTTGTACTGCTATATACTTCCCTCTTAGCACTGCTTTTGCTGTGTCCCATAAGTTCTGGAGGGCTGTGCTCTCATAATCATAGTCATTTGTCACTAGGTATTTTTAAATTTCTACCTTGATTTCCTATAATCCAATAGTGGTGTATTCAACCTCCATCTAACAGAGTTTTTTCCTGATTTATCTGTGATTGATTTCTTGTTTGATACCATTGTTATCAAAGAAGATGCTTCGTGCAATTTCAGTCTTCTTGAATTTGTTGGTACTTGTCTTGTGATCCATTATGTAGTCATTCCTAGATAACATCCCATGTGTCTTTGAGAAGAATATGTACTTAGCTCTTCTGTGTTTGCTGCCCTATAAGTATCTATTAACCCCATATGGTGTAATCCTTTGTTTAAGGCTATGTGTCTTTATTTTCTGTCAGGTTGATGTCCATTTATGAAAGTAGGATATTGAAGTCCCTAGTTACTCATGTAGTTTTTCCAGTGTGTTTTTAGAGTTTATAATAATTGCATATATTATAATACACCTTCATTTGGTGAATATATGTGTGTGTATATATATATATTTTATAAGTGTTATGTGTTATAAGTGTTATAAGTACTAATGTGGTTTTTCCAGTGTGTTTTTAGAGTTTATAACAATTGCATATATTATAATACACCTTCATTTGGTGAATATATGTGTGTGTGTGTGTGTATATATATATATATATTTTTTTTTATAAGTGTTTTGTCTTCCTGATGTATTTTCTTAATCATTGTATGGTATATATCCCTATCTCTTGTTAGCATTTTTAAATATGAATCTATTTTTTCTAAGTATGATTGCCTTCCATTGGGTTCCATTTCCTTGTAAGATGGTTTTCAGGTTTACTCTGAATCTATGTTTATTTTTAGTACTCAGGTGCATTTCCTGGTAACAGTAGAAAGTTGGATTGTGTTTTCTAATCCAACTACTCTCTGCTCTTTGATTAGTGAATTGTATCCATTTAGAGTGATTATTAATATATAAAGGTCTTCTGTTACCATTTTATTCTTAAGTTTGTAACTCAGTCTGTTCCCTTGTTCATTTCTTTTGGATAGTCTTCTCTGATTTATATATAACAGTCATATCAATATTTCCGTGGGGGGAAGAATAGGCAGAGATCTAGTGTTTGTAAACCCCTGTGGCTTCTGTTTGTCTGTGAACACCTTTATTTTTCCCTCATATCTGATGGACAGCCTTCCAGAATAAAGTATTCTTGACTTGCAGAATTTTGATCATGAGTATTCCCTCCTGAGTGTATTTTTTCAGAGAAGTTAGATATAAGCCTTATCAGTGACCCTTTGCAGGCTATCTTCTTCTTTTCCCTAGCCAGCTTCAGTTTTCTTTCTTTGTATTGAATGCTAATAAGTTTCACTACAAGGTGTCTCATTATGTTTAGATAACCTGGTATTCTTTTAACTTCATGGGTGTGTATATTTAATTTCTTCTCCAGTTTGTGCATGTTTTCCTAATTTCTTTAAATAAATTCTCTGTTCCTTTTTCTCTCTTTGTATTCTAAGCCACCCATTAATGCTATGTTGTTTTTCCTCATGCAGTCAGGTAATTCTCTATGTTTTTCTTCATATTATTTTATTTGTATGTCTTTCTTCTTACACCTGGATTCTTTGTGTGTTATCATCTTCAAGGGCACTGATTTGATGTTCCATTTGGTATGTCCAAATTCCATAGCTTTATCTGGAACTTTAATCTCCCATTACTGGTTGGTTTACATTTTGCATATCTATTATTTTCTTATTTAAACCTTCAATTTTTATGTCACTGATCTTTTTTGTGAGCTTTACTCATAAATAAGAATAAATTGGGTAATATTTAATCTTATTTTTCCAAACATTCATTTCTTCTTCTAAGTTTTCTTGTATATCTTTGATCAGCTTTTGTGTGTGTGTGTGTGTGCGTGTGCGTGCTTTCTTTCATTTCCTTTAATTTCTTTAAATTCCTTGAATTTGGACATTGGACTTTATTAATCTGACGGGAATAAAGTTCTTCCATGTCCGTGTAGTTGGGTTCTAGATATTTATTCTCTCTCTCGCTGGTGTTTGTTGCTGCTTATTGTGTTTTTCTGTTTCCTTGTTACTGATTTTCTTTTTTAATATTAAAACTACTTCTACTTTTCCAGTAGATGACATTGTATGTCAGGGAGAAGTAGTCTGTGGGTGGGGGATGGTCCTGAAGGGGTCTGTTGCTAGTGGAAGTAGTGAATATGTATGCAGTTCATGCCAGCATAACTGCAGTTGGCCCTTCTCTCTGGGTTTTAGACTATTATGTAGTCAGCAGACTGAACTTTTGGTATAGCTCTTTTTAGCATCACTTCTTCACTGTATCCATTTGGTCCCCTTATTCTTTTACTCCCAAAGGATCAGGCTTGGATGAGTTGTACCTTTCTGATCCTTTTCCTTCCTTACTGAGAGCCCTCTTCACCTAACTCTCCACCCTACTCTCACGCATAACTCTCATGGTGAGATTCAGCAACAAGCAGTTTAACCCACCCCAGGTGTAGGTATAAACCACACTTTGTCCCTCTCCTCAAGTAATGCATTGAATTTCATCAACATCTTCTCAGTTGTAGTCATTCATGTTTCCTTGGTGATTGAGAGGCACTATGGTTTCTTCCTACATCATGGGTTGCTTTGAGTCCAGTGCCTATCTGGACTTTCTTAGCCTATTCTCCTTGGAGCGAAACAGGGCACTTCCTCTGACTCCATCGTCCCACTAAATTATGTGAATACCTTCAATATTCTTCTAAAATTGCACTCTTTAATAACCTTGGGATATCTATAGCTATTCTACTTATGACTCAAAACAAAGTTTTTTTAGTTTATAATTGCTCGCTTGAGAAGATCTTAAAGAGGTTCAAGTTTAATTACAAATGTTATATTTGAATTGCTCCCTGTACATTCAGTTGGCATCTACGTAAGAGTAAACATCTGCTACATGTGGCACTAGTTAACCTCAGAATGATAGTCTTAAATTTATGCTGTTTTCTTCATTCTAAAAATAGAATGGTACATACGTTCTTTTCTCTAAAAGCATTTAGCCCCATAAGAAACTTTTCATCTTCTGTTCTTTGATATAGCACAATTACTAGAAAAATGTTTTTCAGGAATATTTAACCCATCTCAGGGTTATAATTTCATGTAAGAGCAATTCTTTAGAATACAACCTTAGCCTTATCATAAGTATTTCTTCAATCACATAATTTTTCTCAGTCCCATCACTATATATACCATATATATATATATGTGTTTACATATATAGATATATATACACACACATATCTATATTTCATTTTTTTCTATTCTTTTGACTCATTTATGATCGTTTGTATATTATATAAGGCTATATAATAAAAAGATTT